AGTGACTAATTAGTAAATGATTGGCTAGAAACTTGTAATACCAATTGGTGTAATTGCACTGAAATGAAACCATTTTCATCAAAGATCAGCCACTTAGCATACCTCCACAAGCAGACTGGAAAATCTGAAACACTGAGCATTCCCAGAAGAGTCCCCCTCTAGCATAAAGTGACTAGTCAAGAGTAGTTATTTCAATGTTTATGAATGAGGCTCTTTCTAGAATTTTTATAGGACTTTTTCTGTAAATGTTTTAGAGTTCTTACCTGGTAGGGAAGCTAAATTCGAGAACCAGAACAGCAGACTGATGAAAAAATACTTTGAAAAGCTGTCTGCTGCTGCTGAAGTCCTATTGAACTTTGGTCAAAGCACAATGCCTTCCACTCATCCTCTGGTTGTCTTACCTATTCACATTGCAGTTTCAGTAAATTGGGGATTTCATGCACTATGAGTGTGGTTTTAGCTTACGTTCATCTGGTGAGACTGTGGGCTGCTGATACATGGGTGATCCTCCTCTTTTCCTCCTAACCTTGTATGGGTCTAGTAAACAGACATCATTATTAATTGGATCAGCTTGTTGAACTGTCAGAAAACTAACCCAGCTCCTTCCTTGGCAGACCCTGAGTATGAATAAGGGATTGAGTTGATTCTTCCCTGCAGCAGCACAATCTCCAGGCTCAATTGAAGGGAAACATCAGGGACACACTGCTGAGAGTGGAGAATGAAGAAATGTTTGCAGATTTGACTGGTTGAAGTGTTTATGACACATCCAATCACACATAGCTGCTGTAACTAGTTTCAAAATCACAACCCTGTTTGTGGGTGTTGGATTTGCATTACGCAGACTGTGGACTGGGTAGGAAGTTAAATTAATCACATCTCCTGAAGGGTGCCCTCCTCCAGGCTGACAGGTGCAAGCTCAAGAAGGAGCTGCAGACTCCACATCACAGAGACCATACAGGCACTATTACAATACCATCTTTGTCAAACATTAAAAAAAAAAAGGTTTGGTTTCACTTGAACAGATAATCCTAAAATGCTGCCTTCATCACTAACTGTAGTCCAAAAAGTTTCCTCTCCTTGCCTTCCATATATGTTAAGTGTTATCAGCCACAGAGATTCTCTTAGTGCTCAGTAAGGCTAGAAAAAAGTACAAAAAATGAGTAGCCTAGGTTTGGACAATGAAGTCTTAAAAGAGAGAATAATGTATTGCCAAGCATCTGAAGTTTATTACACATAGGTCTCATCAAATGAAGTGAACTTTCTGTGAGTCTCAAGTTTGCCTGCTAAGTGAAATAGTATTAATGTAATAGATTGCTACTGATCTTACTATGAAAAAAGTCCTTGATTAAGATTTAATACACCTAAAAGAAACTGTGGGATAATGAGTAGATTAAATTGAAACTATATATGTAAGGACAGTTTTTTAATTACAGTGCTGAACCTCAATGCTGAGGACAAAGAAGCTGAACTGTACAACAATCAGTATTTATTGATACCAGTTCAACCAAGAATGAACAACAGCCAGCAATAATTTGAAATGATCAATAATAGTAAAAAAATTCTCAAAAATTTAGAGCATTAGTTAAATAGAGAATTTTTGCAAGAGCTAACACAACAAAAGTAGTCACTTCTGTTTATATGAATTTGCTTTTGATGTTCCATGTAGCTAATTTTGATGTTTTTAATAATTTAAAAAAGTAGTTTGATTTCCTCTGAATCTGAAGCAGGAAAGTTTTAAAATGAAGTCCCATTAATTTTGTCTTTACATTGCTACAGGAAAGGTTCATCATTCAGTAGTGTACATACTACTGCTATTCTAGTAAGCATTTAAGCAAGAGTGAGGAAGCCACAGTTGTCCTGAAGTGTACAGCAATTTTGCTAAGGATTTACATGGAATAAAGATGTTCTTTTGAATTTTTGCCTCTAAAAAATTATATGCTGATTGATACAGAAACATTTAGTTATCTACATATAAAAATTGCTCTCACTAGGTATACACTTACATATTACCAGTATTTAAGCATCTTCTTATTTTTATGAAAAATGAGTATCATTATGAAAAAAGTATTTTATATTTTTCAATGTGTTCTATAGCTTCTTAAATTACTTTTGAATAATATGGTTTTTAATAGCTTTGTTTCCTGACTTTTTTTTCAAATAATACAAATAGAGATTTTATTCTTTTTCCCATATGATGAAACAGCATTTCCAGTGTGATCATAGAGTCTTTTGTAGCTATTGAATATTACTTAAACCAACATTTCTCAGTTTCTCAATTCATGCACTTCACTTTTGCTAAGTACCCTTCAGCTTCACAGTGATTAATGTTTTCCATGCTGCCTATCAACATATTTATAAAAACAAGAGTATGTTTTATTTACAGCAAAGATGTGATAGAGGTGAGTCATAAAAGAAGAAAAATTCTATGTTAAGAAAATCCTAACAGAGCAAAGGCATGAAGATCCATGAGGCACCTAACTGATGTATCCAAGTGCCCTTCATGTCTTTGAAAATCTGCTCTGAATGCATCCTACTTAGTAGAACAGCATTGCTTCCATCAAAGGAATCAATTTCTTTTCTGGAGCAAAATTTGATAACCAGCTAAAGACTCATTTTTACCCACAAAAGAGACTATGTTTGTCTATTCACTATGTAAGCACGTTTTGCAAACATATTAAACCTCCCTTTTTTCTAAAAGAATAGCCTTATTTATCAGTTTCAGCTGAAAAACCTCAATCCTGGGGTTTAAGATTATATCATTCTTAGTGTTGTCTTCACTGGTGTTGATTTTAGTGGTGTATTGAGGAGCACATTCAAATCCACTACATTTGCAGTGGAAAGATGCTGCTGTGTTATTTGACATCAGTAATAATTTCCAGCTTTGGAACAACACATTGCATATTCATCACTGCTCTTTTCTTTTATTAAGTTCCTGCACGAAAGGAATGAAAGCTGTGATACGATCTTCAGCATGTCCAGGTTGTAGTCACTGAGATATTCTTTTAATTTTCTTTTAAAAGATGCCTCCGGTCACATAATTCTAGAGCAGAGTAGTATGACTGAAAAGAGTTTTGCTACGCTATAATCAACGGTGACTAAATTTACTGCTTCATAAATAAAAAGTAGTGAAATGTTTAAGGGACCTGTAAAGCTTTTGTGGATGAAGAAGGCTCATACAAAGCATCATTCAGTTACTACTGCAACTCTGTCTTTGGTCACCAAGTAGCAGAGAGAGAGACTGACAGGATATTTCCTGACTGTTTTGCATACTGAAAACAACCTGCACACCAATCATTTTCTGAGGATCTTTCACCTTTTTTGAATCTCGTTCTCATATTTTTTAAATGTTCAAGGTACTTCATGTGATGAATTTGACAAACCTACTTCTGAAGAACAACCCACATTTAATGAACTGACTGTAAAGTCTCCTCACATTTAAATGCCATCCATATTTCAGTGCGGTCTACACTTGCATAGACATCCTCATATATGTTCTCAGGATGTTTCTGAAAATTATTGCAGAGGCACAGTAGGCTATTTCATAATGAATGCAATGCCATTTCAGGATCTTACAGTGATCTGACTTGCGACCAAGGCCTCATTGAAAATGTGTAGTGTAGGCAGAGGGCTTTTCCACCCTGCTTTGCCAGTCAGCTTCGCCTCTACTGAGAGATCAGTGCGTGTGTAAAGAACTGTAGTTGAAAGCTCTGACTTCATTGAGAAAGTAGGTTTCAGGTACAACAGAACTTTTAATGTCAGTATTTTATTATTTGTTTAGGTAAGAGTAATAAAGCAGTGTTTTGCCAAATTGTAGAGGTTGGTACTGTTGAATTCTATTGGATAGATAAGATTCTTCATTTTAGAGAAGAAACATCTTTAAATGTGCATGTTTAGAGTGCATTTAGAAACAAGTCTATTGACCTATCCACTTTAGAAAGCAACTCATTCCACATCAGTATGTAACAGATGTCAGTTATTGATAGGTTTAATTTGCAGGTAATGAAGACCATGTTTGAACTTGTGACCTAAATGTGAAAAGTTCCATATGTACCTCTGTAAGCTATCTAGATTTAAATACTGTTTCTGCAACAATAGGAAATTTTATTCCAGAAGGCTGTGAACAGTGTTGCTTGACTGAAGTCTCCTTGGGTTTTATTTATTTTATTTGAGCTTTATAAATATAATAAATATGGGTTAAAATTGTTTACAAACTATGTTCAATTAAAACTAGGAGCTGCAGGTGCACCCTCTAATGATAAGATCTCTAGAAACAAGAGTATCAGGGCAACTCTTGATCTAGCTGAGAGTACATTGTGTAACGATAAGCACATGAGAAATGAGAATACTGTAGCAGCCATGGATCTAGCTGAAGTCAGTGGGAGTTAAGAAATCAAGAGAAATGCTCATGGCTTCACAGGCACAGCCTCACAATGCTGAAGTAAATGTGGATCTTTTCTGTGAACTGTAAGGAAAGGACAATCAAAGCCTGACTAGAACGGCTGAGCTGGCATTGTGAAATCTGCTGACATCCTGCAACCATACATTCATTTTAGGGGTCAGGGTCGTTTGTTTAGTTTTAATATGCTTTTGCCCATTAATCGAGTATTTATTCTGCTTTTATGCATGTTTTTAAAAGGATATTCCTAAGAAGAGGATGGAAAAGAATCCATTTTACCTTCTTTTCCATAACTAAGGAAATGGCTGCAACACTTAAAGCCGAAAGGAACACTTGGCCGCCACACAGAAAGTAGACCAACATTAATTTCTAGGCACACCTGCTACTCCTGTTTTTAGACATTTTTAAATTTAATACAATCCCTTGCAGTGAACATTCTGAGTTACACTTTTATGTGGTCTAATGAACTAAGTATGATTCTTGATGTCTAACCAACTTTTATTTTTAGGTTTTTCAATAAAATTCTAGCTACATCTGTATGCTTAATCCTCATATAACTCTAACAGGAGCTGATGAAAAAATGCAAAATAATATTACCTCTTAAGTTTTCAAAAATATTTATGCTTGTGAAAGTTAAGAGTAAGTCATCTTCTAATTCCTTTTCACTTTTTTTATTCCATCTTCTATTTCCCCTTAAAGATAACAAAATAAACTACAGCTTCTTTTCCTTTTCAGTAGTCCTGCTTAAGAGCAATAAAATTCTGAGAAATAGAATTTTTTATTTTTAAATTACCAGTTTTATATTTGAAAGTTTTGGGGCAAACTTTTGTCATGAACTCTACTCTGAAAAAAGCAGTTGAAGTGCAATGTTTTGTGGACCAGTTTCACTCCCTCAAACAGGGAATAGAGAATAGAGCAGAAAATAGAGATAGAGCAACACGTGCCTTTGCCACAATCTCAGTCAAATCACACAAATCTCATTTGATCCTTCAGACTTATGGCAAACCCATGACCAGAAGTTCAAAATGTTTAAGTATAGTAAAGTGATATTTGGAGTTGTTTTGGTTTGTCTTCAGCACTTTCTTTGCCAAATGCTTGTCTCTTGGTGAGCTCTATACTCCTTGGGCCAGTTGTGAGTACTGAAGTAAGGGCTGCAAAGCCAAGCTCATGAGCTGCACTCTAAAGGATGATTCAGATAATTAATATAATTAATTTGGTACAGGGCAGAATATAATGTTCCAAATAAAAATATACATTTTATTTTATTTTTTTTAGAGTGTTACACCTCTAGCCATAAAAATTCTTACTGGATGTATACTTTACATTTTAACAGAAAAAACTTTATAAGTTGAAGAAGGAAGTCTCTGTGAAGTTTCTGCTCTTCTGTTTTAAGAAAAAAGCATGACCATAGCCTTCTATATATATTATTTTGATGAACTAGTATGGGGAAACAGATGAAATAAGCCTGTATGTACACCGGTGCATTGGCTTTGAGAGTACTGACTGAGTACTTGTCTTTGTTAGCTATGTCCTGCTTCAGGTCAAAGTCCTCTGTGCCAAGAAATTCAGACTGGTTCTGTCAACAGTGATTACATAGATGAGACCTGAGCTGGGACAAGTTCTCCACCTTGTCTATCTTTCTGCAACTCCAGATGTACGTGACTCAATGCAGACATGAAATAAGTTACAAGCGAGTGCACAGGCAATATGGGCAATCAATGAGTAAGATGCCTCGGCTGAGCGAACTGTACAGAGCTGCTTGCAGCTAACTATAGTCATGATTTACTGTGCATCTTCGTCAACAAGAACAGTGGTATTTTATTTCCCTGACTTTAACAGAAATCAATTTGTGAGGCCCAATTTACTCCGACTTTATTCAGCTTTTGGTCCATAAACAATTAAAATGACTCCTCCCTTTCTCCATTACTCAGCAGATTAGAAGTTAGTCCTCTTGTGCTGTTATTAGACATGTCATTTTGCTATCCTCTGTTGTCTATGATAATATAATGTTAGAAAACTTTGATCTAAGTAAATATTGAGCTGTGCTCTTGCTAGAAAAATGAACAACCTGTATAATCAACTGAAAATTTTGTAATGAATTTAATTTCAGAAGTGTTCATCAATAATTTTAAAATATATTTCCTCTTGAAATGAAATAAAATTTAAAAAGCGAGAGTGACACTCAAAATATATGTATTTTAGAAAAAAATCCCCAAGTACATAAGCACTGTTTTTTCAGGCATGAGCATAACAGATATAGTATATCACAACATAACCACAGTATGAAGTAGAAGCAATAGCAGTATTCTGATTAAAATGTAGCACATTAGTTATATATATCTTTCATGGATGGTTTTTTAGTAGCTATAATGAGGTTTTAATGCCATCTATACCTTAAACTGATTTCAGTTGTGCCAGTAAACCATGCCAATTTAACTTCAATCTGAGATAGAGAGTTTATGTGTGTGAAAGAACTTCCTGCACACTTCAGCTCATTTTGGTGGCTTTTTTTTTGCTACTATTAAACTGGAGGGACAAGTCCCTTGAAAAAAAAGGGAAAAAAACCCAACCAACTTTGAAAATATTTGCATAAATTAACTTCTATAATGGAAATGGAATTTGCCAACAGAAAATGTGCAAGAATCTATGAGAAAACAAAGTGGAACTACAGTATCAAAAAACTATATGTGATGATTTGATATAAAGATTTCTAATACATATTATAACAGAGGAATATAAATATACAATATTATCTAAAATACAAATAAAGGAATATATAAAATCCACATAATAAAAAAAGACAACAGGAATTAAAAAATCAGAAAATTAAGCCATAGTTACAAAAAATTATCAGCAATCTGGAGTGATTTTGTATAAATTGCTTTCCTTAAAAGCATATGTTGTCCCAAGGCCATTTGAACATTTGCCATCTAAAATATCAAGTTCCTTGTAAAGCATTACAATAATTTGAAAATTTTAATAAAATTATGAGAAATGCCCTTTCTGAAATATACTTAACAAAACTGGAAAAGAAGGCATTTGCAATGCAATTAAAATGCAATCACATACACTTACTCACCTGTAAAGAGCAATAAGAAGACAAAGGCATTAACTTCCTGCTGCAATTCAAGCCCAAGAGCCAAGGCCAGAGTAGTTGTTACAAGATGATGGTAACCTATGCCAGGTAAGTAGGTAGCAATAAGATAAAAATAGATATGATAAACATAATATTGGCTTTGTTGTCTATGAACACTCATACTTTAGGTTCCTGACCTGTCCCTCTGAACTACAGATTTGTATAAATACATTTTGGTCTTAAAAGTTGTGAAATTATTTGTAATCATGCTTCTGAGTACAACAAATGAGAAAAAAAAGACGTAAGCATATAAAAATAGAGAACTCATCAACATGTAGACCTCAAAGTAATTAGAACTGGGTGTGGAGCTCCTGATTTTAGAAGCTCCCACATATAAGGACATCAGATATGAAAGATTTAAATTTTTTATTACTAAAACCAAATTTACAGTTCTCATCATTTTAAACAAAAGCTAGCAAGTGTAAGGCAAGTCTGATAGGTGATACATACAGAGAGCATTAAAACAAGGTGTCCGAATGTATGAACAGCCCAATTTAGTTCAATATGTGTTTTTAAGCCAAGCACAAATTGATCTGAGTGATCCTGCTTCATCTGCCATTCTCTTCATCTGCCATCCAAGATGCAACACCAGTAGCACACTTCTGTGAGTTCAGACTTGGTGATAAATTGTTGGTCTTACTGGGGTATGGCTGTTTGCTGCCACATTTCAATGGGGAAAAGTCTATCCCAAACATAAAGCTATATGCTAAGACTGAGACAAGCAAACAGCACACTGGTAACCTCAACTGGTTGCACACTGCAACCCTCAATCCTCCTTCCATTTCCTCTAATACTACTCCAAATACACAGACTACCTCTTTTATTTGTGTAGGCCGCGATACTCACCTCATAACAGGTTGAACTACATCAGCTACTTATCCAGCTGGAAAGTACTGTTTGGTTTTGTTTATTCAGTTTGCATATCTGCCTTGAAAGATCCTGGTTTCTCATAAACTGCTTAAAACTATCTGAAAATGCGGTTCTTGTGAACTCTTACAGCAAGAGATGACACTTTCTAAATGAAAGGAGTGAGAAATAAGGCATCTATTCTACTTTATGTCATGATTTATTGTTAGGTAAATGAACCTCAAGAGATTTTGCTACCTGAACTACCTTTTGCTATCTAGAGGACTCCAATGAGGACTGGAGTCACTATGAAAAAAACGAAAGGTGTGTATGGGCAGGAAGAGGGAAGGAGATGGAGAGAAAATGAGCAAGGTCACTACTCGGAGTAGCGATGCTAATTTAAGCCATATTTAACATTATCCCTCGTGAGAAAGTTAAGATATGGAAGACAAACTGGGGGAAAAAGCTACCAAGTGTTTTGCATTACTTTCCTTCAGCCTTCCTGTAAGGTTGTCCGTCAGCCCCATTTCTGCAAAAAGCTAAGTTGTTTGGTTGATAAGACTGACAAGGGGCAGTTTCAGACACATGGAAACCTCTGGTCAACATATGGGTTGGAAAATCTCATTTCTTTTAACAGTGTGGGAGGTTGTAGAATAAGATTTCTAAGACCATTTTGAAAATTTGTCTCATATGCAATATAGACTACTGCAGAAGTTGTCTATGGTAAAAGCTAGCTGAGGGTGAAAAAACATTTTTTGCCCAGATGGCTTCTTCACATATTGCTATTGGCCTGCAACTGCTGCTGAAAACTGCTGAAGTTACTACTACATATACGTGTCAAGCAAGAGTACTGGCTGGATCCTGAGAATAATTACTTGTTCAAATGCATGTATCAAAAGGAAAAGGAGGCCTGAGAAGAAGGTAAGAACATACACATAAAGAAAAGCTCTTTGTTTGAGGAAATGACTGAACTGCTGAAAAATTAAACCCAAACTTTCCCAGTCAGGGCCATTTTTGCTTACTTGGCTCTCTCCTATTCCTCTTTTTGACAAGGTTGCTAAACTTACAACAGTTCATCTAGGAAGAAGGAACCAACTGTGTTGTTAAAAAAAAAAAAAAGCAAGCTAGTCTTTTGTTATTTATTTAATTTTGTTCCTTTCTTTGAGCACCGCTGCCAACCTACAAAGTCACTGGTATTTTTCATAACAACAGTATTGACTTCACAAACAAAAATTAAAATCCATAAGGTTTCCAAAATGATCCACTTGAAGCTATTCTTAGCTTTGTTTGTTTACACCACTGATAACATGTAATCATAACTGTAAAGCAGTTTTAATAAAAAACACTTAACAAAAACATAAATCATTCTACACAAATGAAAAAGCCAAACTTTATATTTGAAAAAAATAATTTCTTTTTGCAACTCTGATTAGAGTTATCATCTCCTGAAATGGTCCTGGACTGTCAGAAACTGAGGTTGATCAGATGAAGAATACCAGCCTTGGCTGAGACTCAAGAAAAGCCTTTAAGTCTTGATAAATGCCTGAGATACAAAAATGTAAATGAAATCAGGACACATTCTGACCTCAAATAACCTTGGTAATTAAACAATTCACTGACCTCAACGCACAAATACCTTTGATCTCAGTAGAAGAATTTAAGCAGAAGTTGTATGAATATTCTCATAATCTTGAGTTTCAATGGATTGTTTTTAACCTTGAAATCAGTAGTTTCATAACGAGTCATACAAATAATCTCACTGACTCTCATATGACTACATAGGTAAGCAAATTATGCATATCTTTGCAACTCAGATACTGGATTTGCATGACTTATATACCCCAAGAAGGAAAGAAAGGTAGTATTTTACTATCTCCATATCAGTCTCCATATCAGCAAATACAACTTGTGACAACTTTTAAGAGCCATACTGTCCACGGATTTTAATTCTTCACCCTCTGCTAGTCACTTCCGCCAGTCTCACACATCCTAAACTAAGAATTGTTTTGTTGCTCTCGACTTAGCACTTTATTTTTAAAAAACAGAGAATAAGCAAGCGAGGCAGCCTGCTTGGCTGAAGTTGCTGCTGCACAGCTGATGTGCCTGAAGTTTAGTGTCACTTTTCTCGTGGAGGTATCTGTGAAGCAAAGTTAAGCACAAAAATAATATGCCTGTTCTGGCGCGTCGGTTCCACGCCAAGAGAGGTGTAAGGGAAGGTGAAACGGAGGAGAGCGGAGGGGGAGAAAACCTCCCCCCTCCCCTCCCTGCCCAGCGCAGCCTCCAGGGAGGGGGGCGGCGGAGGGGACCCCTCCGGCCGAGCGCTACCACCGAGGGGCTGCCCCTCGCCAGAACGAAAAGGGGCGGTAGGTCCCTATGAACTTTATTGATGAGCTTCTGTCGCCCAGGGCGCAGCGGTCACACACTAAAGCGGGTGGGGGAGGCAGGAAAGGGCCGTGGCTAACAAAGCCCGACCGCCTTCCTCCCTCGCTCCCAGCGCGGCTCCCGGCCGCCCCCCGCGGGTCTCCCGCGGCCGCCGAGCGGGAACGAGCCCGGGGCGAGGCGCCCAGGGCCGGCGAAAGGAAGGGGCCCGGGCGGTGGAGGACCGGTGGTGTCCGGCGGGAGGCGGGGGCGGCCCGGGGGACAGAGCGGGGATGCTCCCGGCCCTGCTGCCCCCGCCGGGCCGTGCGCGGGCGCCGCAGCCATAGCCGAGCCTGCAGCAGGCGACGGCCATCGCGGGCTCGCCGCCCCCCTGCGCCCCTCCGAGGACGGAGGGGTGGGGGCAGAGGAGGCGGAGGAAGCGGCGGCGGCGCCAGGAACAGGGAGGCGGCGGCACGGCGAGGGAGGGAGCCAGAGCCGAAGCCGGGCCGGGCCCCGCGAAAGCAACAGCAGAGCCAGCTCCTCCTTCTCCTCCTCCTCGGTGAGTACCGCTCCGCCGCCCCCGGAGGCTGCTCGCCGCCGAGCCCGGGTGCCGGCGCAGGCCGGGCCGAGGTTCCCGAGGAGAGGCCCGCGCCGGGAGCGGGACAGCGCGGCCTCCGCTGGGTGAGCGTCCCCGGGGCAACGGGCCCCGCTCCCCCGCCCGACCCCGGCGGCCGCGGGGGGCTGGTGCGGCGCACGGGGAGCCGGAGGAAGGGGCTGGCGCGGTTCGCGGCTTGCCCGCCGCCCTCCTCCCGAGCCGCGGCCCCGGCCTCCTCTCCCTTTGTTTGCTCGGCTCCCCGAGCCCGCCGCGGTGCCAGGCCCCAAGGAGGCACCGGGGCCGCGGCGCGGCCTGCAGGGCGGGCGGGAAGCGGCTCCGGGCCCGGGCCGGCGAGGTGCTGCCCGACTCCCACCGGGACAGGACGGGGCTCGGCCTGGTTCTCACCGCACCAGTCCCGGCGGGGCCCGCCGGGCTCCCCCACGCCTCCCCTGGGCCGCTGCCCGAACGCACCCCGCGCCTGCCGGTGCCATTATCGAGGGCGGCGGAATTGGGCTGTTTTCCCCTTAGCCCGCCTTGGGACCCGCCTTCCGTCTGCGGTTTTGGGGGGGTCCCTGTCTCCGGCGGGGCGGGTGTGCGGAGGTGTCGATTTGTGCTGCCGGTGCTGGGGCTGGTGCGGCGGCGGAGCAGCCCCGGGTGTAGGGTTGTTGCGAGGTGAGGGTGCGCCAAGGGCTCCCGGAGGGGCGAGCGAGAGAAAGGCGCCTTTCTGTGACAGGCACCACTTAAAAACTTGGCTTAAACAAAAAGCAGCACCAAATCCCAAAACTTTACTCGCTTTCGTGGTTCTTCAAGCTGCTTCTTACACTCTCTTTCCCTAATGATGCCCCTTCTCTCGGTAAACAACTGGTCCTGGCCCGTGCCAACCCGATTGCTTAAGAAAAAAGCCTTTACAAAACAACGATGTTTTTGAGAGGTGCAGAGGATGATGCTTCTGTGATGTGAGGTATTTTGGCTGTTCTGTCTTCTTCTTTCTTTTATTTTCCTATGTTTTCAAAATCATCTTAGTTTGGAGCATGATTTTTTTGTGGACTAGCTTACTGAGTTAAAGAAGTTGGTCACAGGATATACTTCAGTCAGGGAAAGTTTCTCTTCCACTTAATAAATTCTTGTGCCCTTTTCCCGTTAGGTCCCAGCCCCTCTTTTCTACCTGCCAGGATCGTTTACACCGTGTCCAGCCTCTTAATACACCTGTGATTAAAAGATGTGGGCTGCAGGCCTCCTGTCTTAGAGAGCTGATGTCTGCACAAGCACTTGAGGAATAAGGCATTTCTGCTCTGGGTGAAAAAATAGCACTAGTTTTGTTTTATGCTAACAACCACATCTTTGGATTGTAGAAAATATGGAAGCTTTGGTGTAGTTATGAAATAAATTACTTAATGTCACTTAGCTTGGCTGGAAGACTTTAAACCACTGGAGAATGTGTAGGTATTTTCGGAGTTTTCTGCAGTAAGGCGGTAGTCATAACTCATAGTTTTATGTGTAACTTATGAAAGGCAAATTTCAGCTTTTTCAAAATGCTTGATTTTATGAAGTGTTAAACAATACTTGGAGTCTTCACTTCTGATTTGATTTTCCTTGGATTTGTGGCATTGCATTGTGTTTGGAACTGAGCTTTTACTTAAAACAGATTCATCTGTTGTATGCTATATCAGGCATGTATCCCCTATATCCTGAGTTTTGAGATGTAAGTAGATTTTTTTTTTAAATTAAAATTTAATGAAATTAAGCCTTAATATTTAAAAGTATGAATAATAACAGTATAGTGTTATATGGAGATACCTGCATTTGCTAAGCTAGAGGGCTATGGAGTAGAAAGGGAGAAGCACTGGGTTGTTTCCAGAGGTTTTGTGAGCATCACTTCATGGAATTCCGTGTATGCAGCATCCGAGTGTTTGCATGGATTCAGGAGACATGATGGGTAATTCTAAACTTCATGAGAACTTGACATACCGATATCTATAAAATCTGTGTATTAACTTCTTTGATCCTAGCTTTTGCAGTTGGTTGGTAACCTTCAGTTAGTCTTGGAGAGGGATGGTTTGAAGAAATGGTAACTAGTCTGCATTGTTCTGCAAGTAAATAATAAGTCATAACTCTCCTTGGTACGGTGAAATGGTGGAGTGAAACAGTGAACTCTTAACTAAAAGTTTTTCTTATGAAGCAAGTTAATTATTTCTTCTCTTTCTTATGAAATTTTCTATAGTCATAGAGAAATTTGAACATAAATGTTTGAAAGGCTTCATTTGGTAGCCTTGCCCTGAGTTCACTACATATTTGCTCTGCTATTGTTGGCAAAACTGAGGCCACAGTCCAGGGTAATCCCTTACTCAAGTGCCTTATTTGCTGTCACTTTACTACCCTCCTGGGACTACAGAGCACTATTTTGGTAGTGTTTGGGTAGCACAATGTGATAACATAAAGTAGATAGAAAGGAGACTGTTCTCTGCTGGTGTGTCTCTCAGTGTTTTGTTGACAGGGCTTTAATGTGTGTTAGCAATAATTTAGGGGGGATAGCTTGAGCAGTTGTGATGCTCCAAGGAGGAAAATAAGATACAAGTAGTATAAAAGTGAATTTAATCTAATTTAGGAATGCAAATGCTAAAATATATTGAGTATAAGTTGGATAGGATTTGGACTGAAAAACAGAATGGAAATTTGTTATGCGACTTAACTGTGTGTTTTGTACTGTCAAGTAGTAAAAAGAAATATGAAACTTAGAGTTTCCTCTTTTTTATGTTTTTTATTTTTCAGAAGAGAAATAATTATATCTGTAATGTTCCTTATCCTTATGTTTATTCCAAAATCTGATTTCATTCCATTTTAGTGTACACTTAATTTTCTGGAAATAAATACCAGTCTTCAGAAGACAATAGTTATACTTGATGCAAAGGCCCGAAGTTTTCACAGCCTTGGTCCCGATGCCTCCCAATCAATTTGTAGTAGCAGACAAGGAAGTATTCTTGTAAGAAAATAATTCTTGAAATTTTTTGTCGACCATTTCAGATGACAAGTTACATACAGCAGGATGTTTTTTTAGAAAAGAAGAAGATTGTGCTTGTAATGGGATATTTATTGTCCAGGTTTAAAAAGCAGCTTCATACCACTCAAATATGTTTTTGATACAGCAGTATATAAACATTCATGATACACGATAGGTTCCTTCTTTTATTATTATTTTTGCTTTTTCCTCTGGAAATAATCGATTTCTGAATTAAAACACTATACTATGGAAGTTGAATAAATTTCTGTGTTAAAAATAGTTACATTACTTTTGAAATAAACATTTAAAAACTCAAGGCTTTGGGGTTTTCGTTGCAGTAGGTTTTTCCCCAACAGTAGCTGAATGATCTTAAGCTATTGAAACAAAAACCTGACACCTACTTCAGCTTCTCCTGGTGATTAAAACCAAAACAAGCTGGCCTTGAATTATTGCCCTGGATGAAAATGGAAACCTGACTGTATGTAAAGTGCTGACTGATATGTCAAATATATGAAGAAGGGTACACAAACTTTGCTAGAGTCTCCACAGATTGAATTGAAAAAGGCCACATGGAGCAGAATCGGGCTTAGTCTACTTTTTTGTGAGAATTAAAACTTTCAGATCAGAGCATTAGAAATTTAGTTCTCTGCTTCCTTAAGCTCGCTAAAATAAAAGTTGCTCCTACTATTTTCTTTTGCCAGTTTTCATGGTCTTCTGACTCCTGCTTTTGTCATGTACAGGCATGCAAACAAGAAGCATCTGCAACTCCAGACAATTTCAGAAAGCTTTGAGGTATATGGCTTTGCAAATCTGACTGCTATTCATTAGTCTGTAATGTGGATTTAAGAACCTATCTTTACATATTTTTATTATTTAAAAGATTAATAAACTGTTATCTCTCATGAAATTTTCTTCTGGAAAATATTAAGATAAAATACTTCGGAAATTATTGGTCCTTTTCTGTGTCCTTAACTGTTCACATAACACTTTGGGCTCTGAGGAACTCAGTTGGCTTCATTTATGACAAGGATGTAAGCCACATGTTACCTAAAAAATTCTTCCTTGCTTGCTACATCACCAAAAAAACTGTGCAAGTTAAATGTAAGTCTTTATTTGTTTAGCATGGATGTGGGAACATTGGCTGACTTGTTTTACCTCTGACTTTATACGCTATTGAAGGAATTTGAAAAAAAAGTCTTCTTGCTCGTAGGATGCTGTATATTGGTATCTTCCTAAGGATGCTGTGTATTGGCATTTCTGTCCAGGTGCTGCTCCCCTAACATTGCTTCTTTTTGCGTATATATAGGGCACATAGAAAGCCTCTCATGCTCTGTCTTCTGTGAAACATTCTTTTTGTAATCTGCCAAGTTTAATAGGTTGGCAGTTTAAAAAATTCTCAGGTTTGTAAAGTGTGTGAGTTTTTGTTATCAACACTAAATAATCATACTGTAAACTGCTGTAAAATAGTTTTGCATGAGAACCATTTTCTCTGGCGGTGAAGATGTAAATAGTGGATGTTAGTGATTTTTTTCAGAGTTCATTAAGTGTTTGGTAGTTAAAAATTTAAACAGTAAAAATGAACCTGTGTGTATTGTTAAGTAAATCATACAGATATGTAGTATTTTTCTTTATTTCTCAGTGCAATGTATAATCAGAAACTGTCTTTGTATCATATATATGATACTGAACTGTAAGTGGAGTTGTATAAGGTTTTCATGGTCTTGAGTTAATGTGGTGAATGCATCTGGCAGATAAATTGATTGATTAATTTTAGCATTTGAGATTGCAGACTTAATAACTTTGGTATTTTTCCTCAAGGATATTTTGTATTGCTTAAAACAGTACATTGAGTTCTACTCTGGATGACAAAATTGTTGGAAATGAGGTTCCAGTCAGGCTTAGTTTTACAGTGTGTGATCTCTTGTTTTTCTTCAGTAGTTTTATTCTTAATTAGTCTTGACGTTTTCTGGTAAATGTGCTAAAACAGTAGTTTTGTAGGAGTCTTGAGTAGGTGATTGTTTTTCCTTTTCCAAAGCAGTCTGCATTCCTCAAATATGTTGAGAACATAATAGTAGGCTATTCCAAATGTTTCTGAAGCATATTTGGTCCCAAGATGTCTCCAGTACAGTGGTCAAGCTTGCTTTCTCTCTTTGTTTCTTCTGATTTAGGGAGTCCTGTCTCCCCCGGCTTTGCCTCAGTAAGTGCTACAGAACTGGGCAATTACGAACTGTAATGTCGACTATGTTTTTGGCATCAGTAATGGGTTTTAATACCCTTGGAATCCCTTTGGGTTGGTAATCAGGTATCAGATTAAGAGTTTTGATAAAATAGAGAAACAGAAATGAATGGCATCAGGGTAAAGGTTTTTGATTACAGAAGATGTGCCTTCGAGGATGAGATATATGGAAGCCGTACTCCAAAAACAGGGTAGGCAGCTTTTCAGATTGATGTTCTTTCAGGAGCCGGTGGGAACTGAGCAAGTGAGGAATTCTCTCTGTATTCAATGAACAGAAGCTGTTTGTGCAGGAATACCGGTTTGGGTGAAACTTGTGCTGGGGAAGATTTCCAAGCTGGAATTTTGGTCAGCCCGAGGAGACCGACTCCAGAATAGTCGGTTTGTGTATTCAGAGGTAGGAGTCACTAGTTATGTGTGAG